GTTTGTTTCGTTTCAAGCAGCTAATGATATACGATCACGCGGCGTCTCGTTGCTTAGCAACGATTGAAAATGGAGTGATAATGCGAAGGAAGCTGCGACTTTGGGGACTCTTTCCTCGCATCAGCATGCGAGAAAAACGTTTATCACTTTTAAAAGTGTTTTTTTATTTATTTGGATGTTCGGGGATTTTCAGAATACAGTTGTCTTGTCGGCTTTTTTGAGTTTGTCTTATTATGTATCAGGGAGGTACAGAAAGAGACGGTTTGAAAAAATAGAACTTTTTTGCAGTATTAAAGCTGACGGGCAAAGCACTATATCGATCAATGGCATATACCAATGGATAAAGCATAAATGGAACGTTATTTCTGGATGTGTAAGCTTTCTGTCGGATCGAAAGAGTTTCTGAAAAGTCTCCACTTTTCTTCCCCCATCTCATTATGCTCCACTCTCCCCCAGTTGTCATTGTTACCGCGAGAGCTTGAAGAACCGGGCTCACTGGGATCTTCAACAGGAAGACCTTGAATAGGCCCATTCACCAGGTGCCATTCACCAGGTGCCATTCACGCTGTCATTCACAGCGGTGGCACTCAGGCCGGTGGGATGAGAGGATGCGAGGGATGGGAGCTCAGACGCACCGAATTTCCAGAGCGTGGGAGGCAAAGGGAAGAATGCACGGAGGGAATGTATCTCCCTCCGCGCCATACGTCCCAATTCACACCACCGGCTGAGAAATGGAAAAGTAATCCTTCGTGAGATACGGTCCGCCGTCACTCTACAGATCTGCTCTCGATTGACGCTTGTGCTCGAAATAGATTCCTTCCCGTACAGGTACTTTCCTCGGCTGCTTCCTGTTGATGAGGCGGCGAGAAGAAAATGCAATGAGTGCAAGTACTGCGAATTCGGATCAAGCTGGATGGTTAAATTTAATCATTTATTTTACGGTTTCTCAGTACAGTAGGTCTACAGCAGAGTACAGGGCTGCCTACTCGAGCTTGGTTTGGTAAGGGCGTCGATGGCAATTAATGCCCATATTGACATTCTCTATTCTTGGGTGGCAGCACCAAGACTGCAACGAAAGGCATTAACCCTTTCAGGCCTGGCGTCCATTCCAATGGACATTGCATTTTCATTGCGTCTATGGTAATTTCTTGGGATTCTTGTGACTTTGTGCCCCATATTACACTACAATGGGCGTAATTATGCATGTCTCAATTCCATCGGAGGCTTTCTTTCGCCCGTCAGTTTAGCCATTTTCAGTTAATTAATTATATGTACAGGGTGCGGCAAAAAAACCTCCCAGATTTTAAAGGTTAACAAAAAAGGCATGGTAAATGCTATTCAAAATGTTATTACATAATCTAAAAGTGCATGAAATACAGTT